TCACTAATAAGGACCTACTGTATAGGGAACTCTACTCAGTACTCTGTAATGACCTATATGGGAAAATAATCTGAAAAAGAGTGGATATATGTATATGTATAACTGATTCACTTTGCTGTACACTTGAAACTAACACAACACTGTATATCAACTATACTCCAATAAAAATTAATTTAAAAAATAACATGCCTCTTAGGAGACTCCTTGGGAGAATTCTTGAAGAGGATGTGCTCACTCGCCATAGACAGAAGGAGGAGGGATCCAGCCCCAACCCTCAACTCTGAGGGTCCCTTGCATCTGGTGGGACGTTAGGAGATTGGAAGGGTGACGGCCAGGTTCTCGGGCCCTTCCTCCTGTTGCTGCCATTGCCCCCCCGCCCCCCCCCCCCATCCAGTGCAGAGCACGGTGCAGACCTCTGACCTCCGGCCCCTCCAGCTCTGGTATTGGAGGCGCCAGTTCCCCGTCATGACAGAAGCACTGTTGTCAGGCTTCAGTTCTTGACACCATGGGGGTCACCTTCAGTCCCTGAGGAAGGCCATGAGCCTCCGGCTGCCAGTCCAGGGCAGTTCTGATTCAGGGCTGAGAAGTGCATTGTTTTCCCTGTACTTGAACTTCTCCGATCCGGGAATGTATCCCTCACTGTTGGTCTTGTCATGCTTCATTTACGTTGTGTTTGGTGAATGATCTCTGGCGACATCGATTGCTTCCTCTATTGGTTAGAATGTCCCATCATCATTCTTCAGGAACAAACATGACTTAGTTTCTCTTACTCTGTTCCTTCAAATTTGTTGTTCCTTCCCTGAAATGCCCTTAACTCAAGTCCTGGTTAGCGCCCTTCAAGATCTAACTTGACCATGGTTTCAGCTGAGATGCCTTCTTGCCGTTCCTTTGACTGTGTGGGGTATGTCTCTTCTGAGTTCCCACACTGCATGTGGGAAACGGCTGGTCTGTCTGTCTCATCCTTACGTTACATACTCCACCATGACCAGAACTCTTTTTCACCCATCATTCCCACCATGTAACAGATCATCTGGTCAAAGCAGAAATAAGCGAATGCGTGAGTGGTCTTAGCATCCTACTGGGTCAAATCTTTGACATCATTTCCTGTTACAGGGAAAGAATCCCTGTATTGTAATTTGAACGTTTAAACTAGAATACCCCTTTCTTTACAATAACTTCCCTACTCTGCTCAACAAATCTCCCGAAGTTCTTGGAATCATGAGACTTTGAGGAAGTGACACACATGAGAACGACTCCTCCAAACCATGTGTTTTTTCTTGTCTTCCTTGACATTTACGTCCTGTGTCTGATCAGGAATTTGTAACTCAGATGAACTGTTCGTGGTAATGAGCCATTCTTAATACAGTCCTGATTGAATACCTCTCTCCAAGAAGGTCACGGCGCTTTACATATGTTGTCTAAATTGTCTTCAGAACATCGCTGGAGTAGGGTGACCACCCATTCAGAATTCACCTTGGTCTGCCAATCCAGATCTCTGTGAGGTTGACTTTCTTCCCCTTCAGAGCCCCAGAAAGACCGAAACCAAGTTCAAGTCTGCAGTGGCTGTAGCTACCACTGCTACATTCCTGAGCCTGGATAGTCTTAGGTCAGAATCAAAGCTAATTCTCTCAGCAGCAGCAGGAGAACCCAGAGTCAAGTCTCCGTGTAATACCCGTCTTAAAGCTCCAGAGATAAAGCGTGATGCGAGGGCAGAGGAAGATCACTTTCACCCAAGGGGGTATTGCTGGCGCCTTCAACTGAGTGTCTGGTGCCTGCAGTGTGTGCAGCCTGCGGTTCTTCATCACAGGCTCCTAAGTCCGAATCCCGTGTTGGGCACTTTGGGGGGAAGCAATGTGGTTTGGAGGAATCGGCACTGGATTAAGAGTAGGGAGCTTAGATTTCTGATCCCAACTCTGTCATTAACCATCTGTGTGTCCTTACTGAAGTCACTTATTCCCTTCAGACCTGTACATTGAGAGCATTGGATGAAATGATTCCCAGGGCCCTTTGCAGCTTTAGAGTCCAATGATTCTGTCCTTACTGCTCCCAGATTTCCTCCTCCAGACCTCCGTGCGCGTCACAGCTGGATCTGAATGCTCACGGCACTCTCTCTGTGCTGCTTTTCTGATGCTGGTCACCATCTTTTCCCCTTTATATATGTGCCTATCAACGACCATGTTGGGTCGGCATCTTCCCAAGGGCAAGAGTCCTTCACTTCATTTTTGTGTCCTGTACATAACGTTGGTACACTTATCTCTTGTCTCCTGTCCCTTGAACCTGTGAATCTCATTGGAGTCTTTTCAGCTCATTGACCTGTTACAAGTCTTTCCTATCTGGAAAGGAGAGACCCCGGCCCCATCCTCCTCCCCCATCCTCCACCAAGCCTCCTGTCTTCCCCACTTAGAGCTAATCTTCTTGAAATAGTTGTCTGCATTTCTCACATCAACTGTTCCCTTTCCTGTTACTCTCCCACTGCCCACAAGCTGGCATTTTGGCCCCTACCACCCAACAGAAACTGTTTTGATAAATTCCCTTAAAAGAAAAAATTTGTATTGCCAAACCCGGAAGGATACTGGGGCGTTTTCATCGTAGCGTCTAAGAGCACTTGCTCTGACCATCGCCTTGTTCTTGAAACTCCCTGCGTGGCTCCGGTGGGGCCAGCTCTTCTGCTCCTGCCTCTCTGGATGGCCCTTTGCTCTGTCCCCCTTAGACTCCCCTTCCTGGCTGTTCTCCACAGTTCTGCCCCTGGCTCTTGTCTCTCTTCACTCCTCATTTCCCTCTCTGGACAGTTTCAGCCACGCCCGGGGCTTCCACCACCTCCCAGAGCTGTCCCAACAGCTCGAAACCCACATTTCCAACTTCACCCCAAACGCAGCGTGTCCTGACCTGTGCCCATCAGTCTCTACACCCCCTCCCCGAACTGCTCTCTCGTGTTTTCCCGATTTAGGCAGTTATATACAGGACACAACGTTATGTATAGGACACAAAAGTGAAATGAATAGGCAGTGATCCCACTACACGTTTAGTTGTCCAGGCCTGGGGTCCCGCTGCCCCCTCATCCCTACAACCAGCCAGTTACCTCTGAGGTTTAGACCTTCCCTGCTGTACGTGGGCTGTTGCAGTAGCCTCTTAACTGTTCTCCCTGCCTCCTGTGTCTCTCTTCTACCATCCATCCTCCACACTGCAGCCAAAAATGACTTTTCAAGGACGCAGATGGGATCTCGTTGCCTTGCTCCTTAAATATTCTATGCCTGATCGTTGACTTTTAGAGGAAATTTCAGCTCCTTAGCACGTGGGATCCTCTAAGGCCTGGATGCCGGCTGCCCTGGCAGCCCCTTCTCGTGCCTTCCGCCCTCACACTGTGGACTCCCTCCAGGAGGACTGAGGGCTTTCTCACCACGGTGTCCTTGTGTGGGGTTGTCCATTCGTTTCAAGGGCCACCCCCTTCCTCTGCTGGCAAGTCCAACCAGCCTTTAGGACTCGAAGCAGATGGGCCCTTTGCCAAAATCCCCCCACCTCCCTCACCAGGCAGAATGAGGTATCTGCTCCCCTGGGCTCCCAAAGCACCTTTTCTTAAAAGGCAGGTCGACTTACTGACTCCTAAGCATTCCATTCTCATGTTAGTCTCTTCTCTACAAATTGAGCATGTTAATGAGTGAAGTGAGAATACAAGTAGACCCCACAACTCCAGGCCTGTGTTCTGTGCGTGAGAGCATCTTGCCTTTGAGAATAAACGAAGCAGCTCTGAATTATTTAGCCTCTTGTCCCCGGATACCGCTCCCTCTTACCTCTTCCTCTTGTGTTTTGAAGACCCTGGCAGGCATTAGGTGCACGTGGTCTCGACCGCCTGATAATCATTTCCCATCATTTCAGTGCCAGAGCCCAGTACCAATCCCCTTTCATTTCAATTAGATAAAGCCCAGAGCTGTGGCTGGCAAGTAAGGGAAGTCCACTGGGGAAATTAAAGGTTCAGAGAGAATAGGGCCCATTATAATAAAAGCATTTGCACAGCCACTGATTCCATCTACCCTGTGGCTGCGACGTTCCTTGGGGTAGGATGAAATATGAAGCAAGAGAACCCATGAAAGTCATTTGAGGAATTTATTTTAATTGGAAATGGTGGCAGCTTTCTGTGCTCTGCAGATCTTCAGATCACACCACAATGATGTGATTGGCATCGTTTAAAGAACCGTAGAGCATCTTGTTCTGCCACGATGCAGGATCTTGGTTCCCCTTTGTCTCAGGCGCTTCCTCCTCCTACGTATGTACCGAATGTGATCGTAAGCCCCTCACTCCCGCTTTTCCTCCTCCCTCCCTCTCTCCTTCCTTCCATTCTTTCGGTGCCTCTGCATTTCCTGTTTCACACCTCGTGTTTAATAAAAATGGGATAATGGCGCCTCAATCAATCAACTGGTCGACCTTCAGATTACTCAGAACTCTAAGAAACAGCCATGCAGCAGACATAGAATGGCCGGAAGAAAAACAGATCATCTGTGTTTAAATTTGTAATAATACAAAGTAACAATAACTTTTTTTTTTCTATGCCTCATTCATTAAGCACGTCACATGCATTTTCTCAGGTGATTCTCGTGGCCCTACTATGTGGGGGTCACCTCCATCTCGCAGATGAGAAGACTGAAGCTCAGAGAAGTTAAGACGCTTGCCCGAGGTCACGTAGTTGTAATGAATGGCAGAACCAGAATTACCTGTAAGATCCAGGCAGAAACCATATTGAATGGCAGGACCAGGTTTTGAACTTGAGCCTGACTGCAAAGCCCACGTGTTAAGATACCATGTCACAGCGCCCCGGGACTTAAAAGCATCCTGTTTGCTGAACATCAAACACATGCTTGCATTTTAAGGTGGCTCATTTTAACTGTGAGAGGTCTCGTTATTATTTACGTGCCCTTATAACAATATCAGTAGTCGTGTTGAGTGGCGTGGGGTTTCTGAGACTGTTTGTTCGATCTGCCTTTACTTTCTCACTTTTCTGTTTTTAGATGCATCACCCCATTCAGATGAAACCTGCAGATAGCGAAAAATCAAACGGTAGGTGGTGACTGTCTTCCTTTCCCGTCTGTTCCTTTAAGTGAAGACGTGAGGTGGGGGGCGGGGAGAGCTGGCCCCGGTGCTGTTTCTCTGGGGAAGGCAGAGAGATGTGCTCCGGGAAACCTCCATCGCGGTGGGTACCTCGCCCTCCTGCCTCCTGTATCTTTGGGGTAAAGACCTGTGAAGATGCTACAAGGAACGGCTTTCTGTGTCCCTGTTTGGGGCTTGCTCTGTGTGGCCACCCTGTGGCTGTTGTTCACCTCCTCTGACAGCAGCTTGGGCACCTGATGGGGAGGGGTGACCTTATACTATGCAGAGAAGGTGAGTGAGAAGGGCATCGCCCACCAAGAATGAGGCTGTCTTTTTCCCACCCCCTCCCTTTGGTCCTCTGGCTTTGCGACTGTCTCACTGCACTTTTCTCTAGGTTGTATCCATGCATTTGCATCCACATTCACTGAGAATTCCGTCGGCTGATTAAATAAACATACAGTCGGTGCAAAAACAAAACAAAACAAAAATATGCATTTGATGAGGTCGGTGAAATAATTGAGACTTGCCTCTCCAAGACACCGGAGGGTTGCTAACCCCATTTCTCTCTGAAGTTTTTGCTCCCACTTCTGCAAACCTTCTGTCCCTGTTTTGTTCTTTGGACTGGCTGCATTGTATGTTAAAGGATCGTCTACCTTCCTAGACCTCAGCCCTCTCCTGCCCCACAAGACTGACATGGTCAGCATGGCCGCCTTCCTCCGGGCAGCTCTGCACCTCATTAATTAGTCATGGAGCAGAAGCCGTACACTTAGAGATCTGCATTGTCTGCCAGTGTAAATTATGACGGGGCTCCGCGTCTCTCCACGAGGTATTTTCTTTTGCTAATTGTAGTGCAGCCCATTTTCCGGCCCCATACACTAGACAGTTTCGAAAGAAATTCCGCATCGTACGGTGGTGTCTGTCGGAGAATAGATGTTGGTGCTTTCCCCACCGTCTCCTCACCAGCCACACACTTCTCTGCAAGTCTAACTCCCTTTTTCCTACAGTACTTTATCACAGGCGTGGCGTTGAATGTCAGAGGGTCTAAAATCCACCCCTGCTTCGTTGTGGGATCTTGGTCCAGTCGCCTCACTCCTTGACTTGACAGTTATTCATCGATTACTTACTATGTGCCAGGCATGTTGCCAGAGGCTGGGACTGCAGCCGTGAATTTTTAAAAGAAGAAAAGGACACAAAAGACACTGTCCCTTACCTGCTGGAACTCACATTCGTTGTCACTGGTTTCAGTTTCTAATAATCACTTGAAGACCAGACTTTAATCTCCTCGTTCATAGAATGGGAATAATGCTAATTGCCTCTCATCGATGAGCTTTTTTTTAAGACTCGTAGAAGATGTTTGTGACAGTGCCTTGTAAATGTTCGAGCACTTCTATAAGATGTTGGTCAGTGTTCCCTGGCCTTTAGGGGCCTTCGCCGAGTGTGTCTGCCCAGGCAGAAGGCCATCTCCTCGTGCCGATTTGTTCCAGGAGTGTGTGTTACAATCTGTTCTCTTCCTCCTGGGAGAGAGGCGGGATGGATCTAGAATTTGTGGGATGAATTCCATCAGTGAAGGTCATCCTGGCACATCCAGCCACCAGGAGATGCCCTCTGTCCTTTGGCCCCATAATTCTCCAAACCGTGTCAGGACACGGGCCATGGGATCAAAGTCTGCAGGAGGGGGTTCGTCTGAACCTTAGGCCATAGTGATAAAAACGTGACAGAAGAGAGAACCAAGTTGGAAATGTCTGACTTAAAATACCCAAAGAGTTGAACCGAGAAAGGGTTTCTTCTTCTGCATTTTCTCCTGTGCAGGTGCGAACCCTGACTGTCCACAGGGTAGCTGCCGGGAGGGCTCAGAATGGTCAGCTGCCCTTGCTGTCCTCTGTCTCCTGTGGACACTGAGGGTAGTGTTTGCTTTGGACCTAAAACCACAGCAACAGAATCAAACTGCCGTGGGCACACCCCATGTTGCACGATCTCAAAATCCAAGCGTGATTGGGCTCCGTTCTACTAAGATGAGCAAATACCTAAAAATGCCATTTTTCAGGAAGCGCCCCAGGGTAGCAGGTGAAATCTCTTTTGAGGAGCCTGGACTTGACCCGGACCCTGCACTTATTGGCTGTGACCTTGAGCAAGTTCTTTACTAACCTCACGCAGCCTCCGTCTCTCCCGCTGTAAGAGGGGCTCCGGAAGCCTAGTCTGTGCTCTTCCTGTAAGGCCCGCCTTACAGAGTCATCATGCAGTTAACACCCACAGAGCTTGGCGTAACACCTGGCACGTAGCGTGCGTGCAGTCTGCTACATTGGTGGCCTAGCTCCAGCCAGTTGAGGTAGTTGTTTTGCTGCATCCTGAGAGCAGAGGCCAGCCCTTCCAGCCTTGGGCTCTTCCTGCCAAAGCTTAGATCTGTGCACCTGAAGGAAAACACCCAAACCTTCTTGCTGGGCCAGTTGTCCCTTTGCTTGCAGATCTACCTTCATTTTCTGACTTTCCAGTAAAAAGAAAAAGTCAAACAGTGTAAATGGACCAAAAGCTGCTTTGAAAGAGCTCTTCTTCACGGAGGCTCAGAGGGACCCCCACCTTGCATAGCCATGAGCAGACTTCAGGGTTGTCCTTGGAAGAATCAGGAGAAAGGTATCATTTCCCAAAGCCAGGGATAAAAGCTGCAAGCCTTTTCTGATTCCACATGACATTTTTAACAGGTAAGCATAGTTTCTGCAGCTCAGAGAGCACCAAGATTTCTTTGGCTCAGATGCTCGAAATAGCTCCTGTGGTTGTGAAAGAAGTATAACGAGCTCTAATTGCACTTTTTTTTTGAGTTTGCTGACATTTATGGATGACACAAAGGGCTCATCACAGTGAAACAGTTACTCTCTTCATTATCATTGTGTTCAGATTTCCCGAACTTCGTATTTGCTGAGCAAGGCTCATCACAGATTCATTAGTGATGGACAAACGAATTCCGGAAAAGCAATCACTCTTTTAAGCTTTTGTCCATGCAGGGATTCTGACAAAGCCCAGAAATGTTAGTCTGCTGTATCTGCCCTGCACTTTACTCTCTTACCGAACGGGCTTCTGAAATCTCCATGGCTTCCTAGAACCTGCCCTTCCAATGGCTCTGATTTCAGCTGCAGTCTCTAGCGCATTTATGTAAGCTCCGAGCATCTTCCATTTCTTATGCTTCTTCTGCGCCAGGTATCCAAACAACGGATCCTCCTCTGGATTGGCAATACGATGTCAGGGACTTTGAGAAGAACACACTGAGTATATACCCAGATTTCAACAGCACCCACCTTTTTTGGTGATTTTTCCCTGACACCTAGTTGAGTGGATGGTACAGGAAGGGCATTGGAGGAGGCCTGGATTACTTCAGGGACCAGCCACACTCACACACACGTAGTCACTCTTTATCATTCTCTCTCCCATTGGAGGGCCTGTTTTCCTGCTTTTAACCTTCCATCACTGTGCAGAAAAAGCAACCAGCCGTGCGAGATCGAAAGCGAAACGCAGTTGCTGGATCTGAAGTCGGTCCAGCAGTGGGTGACAAGGAAGTCGTGGCGGTTGCCTTTGGTTCTGTTTTTGGAGTCTCGGGAGCTGGAGCCAGTGTTCACTGTGAGGTCACACTTCTGACTTGAAGGATTATTTTTGACTCTGTAGGCAGAGTATCAGAGCTTTAACCTCCAACCTCACAGCTTGTCAGGGTCCTTAGAGCCTCGAATCCAGAAATGCCATTTAAACGCCCCCCCCCTCCCCGCCAATCTCTTTCCTCAAGGCATCTGAAACCCCCCGTGGCTGTGCATCAAGTTCCGAGATCACAAGAGTCAGGATGACCCGACGTTGTCATCCTGGGGAGGGCGAGGCCTGTAGAGATAGGAATCCAGGGTGCAGTCCCTTGCTGATGTACTAGAAGATGAAGAAATCATTTTGAAATTCAAAGTAGAGAGACCCGTGGATTCGGAGGCCGTAATTAAATGCCATATGTTAGCACTAACACATTGAAAAGTTGTTAATTAATTCAGGCCGCCCCGAATCCAGGTGTGACTTTGACAGATTGTACACCGGTGTGTTAGCACAGACTTACAATTAGGGGGGTTTTAAAAAATGAAGTTTCTAGTCCCTGAACTTAAAAAAGTCCCCACTTGTATTTAATATTAACCCCTTCTCATTTATACCACGGAAGGGGAGCTGGCAGTGGTCACTGGTATGAATCCACTTTCAGTTCTGCTACTGTTATTGACGGCAGCAACCCCACCTGTGCAGCACGTGGTATATGAAGTATTTCCCCTCATTCATTCATTGGTTATCCTAAAGGAAAACAGACTTTTTCTTTAGAGGGCAAACACCTTATCTTTTCTTTTCTTTTTTTTTTTTTAGTTCCCCTAAAGCACTTAGCAGAATACTGTGAACATGTTAGGTTTATCTAAGCAATTGGCATTCTTGTGGATTGAAAAAACTGGTGAGATACTTAACTGCCCATGAATACTTAGGAAAAGCCCACCAGGAAATTCATCAAACATTGATGAAAAAGTTAAGTGATTTCAAGATAATTTTGTTTAAAATGTTGACAAAGCTGTTTAGCGATCCTTAGAATGGGGATCCTAGGAATAAAGATTTTCACTGGAAGAGCGGGAAAACTCACTGAGAGGAAAGCTGGATCTTTGTAGCTATTCCCATTTTGCCAGTAAAGCAAACAAGGCCCAACTGTGAAAACCACAGAGCTACTTTGGCTTGCAGAAGGTTGCCAACATCCAGGTTCCTTTATACATGCACACACGTGCCGACACACACACAGGAAAGGAAGTTAGCACTTTCAGTAGCATATGGAGGGTGCAGATTTCCTTTTCTTTTTAGCTAATACTTGTTACTGAAAAAAGTGACAGTTATCTTTCATTTCCCTGCCTGAGTTTACCCCTTCATTGTGCCTAAGAAGTCAGGATTGCTTCGTAAATGGTTTCCATTTTTCGTAAATCCATCTTAGGAAAAAAGTCATACTTGAGCTTCTCGGGAGCTGCGCATTTAGTTGACTATAGCATCCCGCACCCTGAAGCTCAAAGCCCGAAAATTGTCTTCGCTAAATACCGTCATTATCGGTTTATCAGGGAAACCAAGGACCAACTGGGACTTTATCCTTTGCTTTTGTTTGAAAACCTGATTCTTCAGGATAAGAAAAAATACAACAGAAATTTTTTTCTACTCGTCAAGGTATCAGCCATAGCTTCCTCGGGGTAGGAGTCCCAGAGATGAGGGCAGGAAGGGATCAGGGCGGGGGGCAAGAACTACAGCTGCAAGTTTTCCCTCCCTCCCCAGCCCCGTTTCTGCCAGTCCCATCCGTTCCCCTTCTGCTTCAAGGGAATGCCACGTGCCCTCAGGGCCACTGGAGTCCTCGCATGCTGAGGAGTCTGGCATCGCACTGGAGGTCAAAGGCTCCCGTTGGAAAGAAAGCACCTCTTCTGGGGCATCTGATGCTTCTAATTCTTAGACCCCAGTGCCAACACAGCCCTCAACTTACTATGCTTTCACCAGTTCCTAGTAGATCATCGGTAGTCCACTTACTCTGACAGGAGAAAGAAGGACTTCTTAAATTTAAAACTCTTCGTCTACATAAAGCAAGTAGAGTCCTCAGCATCAGAGCCAGTGACACCCCCTTTCTCCCTGAGGAAGCTCAACACAGGCGGTGGCCCTGGACCACCTGTGACCTTCCTTCTGCATCAGGCCCCTCTCTGCAGATGAAGCAGAAAATGGTCCCTGTTGTGCTTCAGTCGGGCTGCCTTCCTCCGTCCACCACAAAGACAGTCCTTATTCATTCCTGACTCTGCGCCTTGTTCGGTTAGTACATGATGCCCCCAGCACACTACCAGTCCATCCAGACCCTGCCCGTGCTTCTTAAAGTCCGGTTTCAATTCCACATCTAACATCAAGCCTTTCTCAAACTCTGGTACCCGATTCGTAGTTCACAAGGATTGTGTAATTGTGGTTTTCAACCTGTATCCTTTGGAGCCCTCGTTTCTCTGCGTTGTCTTGGGAGCCGCCACCAGTGTGGAGAGAGAGGCTGGGTAGAAAGCGATGCTGAAGTCCATGTTCAAGTGCTTCATTCAGCCAAAGCGTGTAACCAGGCTGCCTTCTCTCCACCACTTGAGAGAGAGAGGGAAAGGAAAGAGAAGAGGAAAAAGAATCAAGTTGAAACCTTCATTCTGTGGATGACAAGACTCAGGTCCACAGAGGTCAGCTCGTCCTCCAAGGTCACCCATCACCTTCATGGCAGCACTGGAACGAGGACCAGGGTCTCCCAGTCACAGCACTGCCCTACCCTCCCAGCCTCATCTGCCTCCTCTGGACTTGTCAGAAACACAGAAGAGTGAGCAGAACCCTGCGCTGAAGAAGGTACCAGAACCTGGTGCAGGTTGGGCCACCTCCTTGTAGAATGATCCTTGGCCAGATCCTTCCCCCTGCTGGGCCTTGGCATCTCTTTACAGTCAGACAAAACGTCTTTCACGTCTGTTACTTCCGGCCTGGGAGTCTACAACTAGGAGCTCTTAGCCCCTCAGCGCCACCCTTGTCCAATATAGTAGTCACATGCAGCTTTTAAATTTTAAATTAGTTAAAATTACATCACATGAAAAATTCACTTTCTCGATCACACTAGCCACCTTTCAAGTGCCCAGTGGCCACACATGGTTTTCGCTACTGGGGTGGACGTCACAGACCAAACTTTCCCCTTCTCCCCGAGTTCTACTGGACGGAGCTGCTTCAGAGTAAATGAGTCTCTGTTCCATTATAGATCTTCCGTCCCGGCTCCTGGAAGACACAGACCAGGGATTCTGACTTACGTACCCGAAGCAACTGGCCCTGGCAAGTCTAGAATACACTCTTGCCAGTTAAATGATAATGAGACACTTACTGTCCAGAAAAAAGAGTAAGAAAAACAGAAATAAAAGCCAATTAAATAGCAATGACAAGATTATAATACAGATATAAAATGATCCCGTAAGCTAGGACTTTCTGAAGTGCTGGTGTAGCCGGCTATCTTTCTTTCTTTTTTTTTTTTATTTTAATTCTAAGAAATGGATTGAAATGAAACATGGGAAATAAGCAAGACTTCTCCCTGAGGGCTTCTAGGACGATCTTTTGCTCTGTCTCCTACAAACGGCTCCAAACACTGTCTTGAAATCCATAATAATCGTGCCTTTGAGGCTGAGTGTAGGCCAGTTATCCTGAGCACAAGCATGTCAGTTTAGGGAAACAAATCTCCCCGGTCATCAGAGGTAAACCTTCCCTAGTCTTTACCCACTGACAGCTTCCAAGGTTAGAATTTGCACGTTGTTGCCCTGACGCCCAAAAGGCGTTTCTGTTCATCAAGAATCCTACCTCCAAGTGGGCAGAATAGCATTATTCCTTCCTTGTTCTTTTTCTGGTGACGGGTGTCACCCCGAGATTGGGGCCACGCTGACATGATTCTCAGATAACCGCAGCCCCACTGACTTGGCCACAGTTGCCTTCAGCTTTAGTTGTAAGGTGCAGACCACATGTGCTGACCTGGGTAGGGCTGCGTAGCCAGTGCTATGGACAGAAGGCCCCTTAACCAGCTCTCTGGAGAAATTCACGTCTCTCCTGTCTCCTGTTCTCATCTGGACCAGTGGGGACAAAGCTATTTGAAATCAGGGAAGGAGAATGTTTTCTTCCACTGAATCCTTTGTTAAAAGTTTTGTTTCTCAATTTTCCACTATATCTGCTTCTGTTATTTTTCCTCTCCCGATCTTTCTCTTTCGCTGTCACTCAAGTTAAAAGAACATCTACCCCCCCCCAAAAAAAAAAAAACATTAAAATCTGTATCCCAAAATATCTCTATGGGACAGTAGCATTTAGCAGTTACTTAGAACTTTAACATTTTAGTAAACATATTACTGCTTCCAAATGGGGGGAAAGGACTTAAAAACAGTGTTTCGTGTCCTTTGAAGTTGTTTTATTAATAAACAAGCTCCCAGTGTTGGAACAGGAGCCGAGATGCCGAGCAAGGGTGGGGAGAGCAGAGACGGCACGTGTGGAGGAGGAAGGTGGCCTGGGTGTCTGAAGAGTTAGCCTCGGGACCTAGTCGGAGGTGGTGATGACGCATTGATTACGAGGAGGAAGGTGAAGTGGCCTTGGCTCATTCATTATTTCTCTCTCCTAGCCGTGGAAGACAGAAAATTGTTCATAGGAATGGTTTCGAAGAAATGTAATGAGAACGATATCCGGGTGATGTTCTCTCCATTTGGCCAGATAGAAGAATGCCGGATCCTCCGGGGACCCGACGGGCTGAGTCGAGGTGAGTGTGCTCTCTGCAGAGTCTCTGCCCTTAAGTGCTAATTGGAGCTCTGTGTCCCAGTCAAGGTAGACATAGCTCCCACACGCAGCAAGATGTCACCCTGAGACACGTCCTGCGGGACGAAGTTATCCAACCCAAACTTTTCACCATAGCTGGGATGATCACCTTTTATTTCTCAAGTCAAGAAGGTCCTAGTGGCAGCATATTAGCCCAGGTTATCGCTGTCAGACGGGAGGCCCACAGGCTGCCCTGCCGTTACACATCCCTCTTCAATCTCACATTGAAGGAGCTTTGGGAGGTATGAGGGAGAGATGCGGAGAGCGAGAGAGAATGTTTGCTGCTCGCATCTTAGCCTTCTGGCTTTGTGCCTGTGCCTGGGAGAATGCTGAGCGTGTGGGCCTCTTGACTGAGAAATAAACCAAGAAGAAAGGCCCCTGTCCCCGCATAGTGCAGATACAGACTCAGGGTAACCAGGCCTGTCTCAGGGCATTAGGGTTTTATGGCAAAGAGCAAAGCTCCTGGAGTCCTAAACACAGGGATCCATTAAGTGACAGAGAAGTGACTTCGTCCAGGAGAAGATTGTAGGTTCTTCTTTGTCACCGTGATAGAGGCAAAGGCTGGGGCTTCGAGTGCGGACGAAAACCAGTGTTTCCGCGAGCAGCCACGCAAGGTAGCTGGAGATGACTCTCTTCTGTCCACGTTTACCTCCCCCTTGGATGGACCCACACGCCTCCCTCCTTAAACCGCTTATAAGGCTTGTCACCGTGTTCCCAGCCATCTGACTAGTTTCCTGAGTCAGCCCAGGAGGCCCAGGGGAAGACGCACATGGAAAACACATTTCTCCATTCTCGTAAGAAATCCGTCTTTTTGCAACACAGAGAGGATTTCATTCAATTAATGGGGTTTCCATGTAGAAATGTCTTTACATTCCCCATCTCTGGTTCTGGGACTGCACTGCCCGCGCCCCATGTTGAAAGAAAAGGTTAAGCCTTAAGTATCAAGGGACTAGTTTTCATTCATCTCCCTGGTCTTACGTAAACTCAGCGCCCTGGGAGGAAGAACATTTGTTCTTTTGACTTTTAGACATAAAGCTTCGTGATGCCAACTGCTAGAATCGAAGGCACAGGGAGCAAAAGTTTTCCACCTACCTCCACCTCCAAAGCCCTGAAACAGAGGTGATCTCGGGGAAAACTAGGAGGGGGAGGAATGACTCCAAGCTTGTGATCCCTGTATTTTCTTCTGAAGGTGGTTTTAAAAAAAAAAAAAGGAGGAGGAGGAGGCCTGGAAATGACACGTAACACTCGCTGAAAGATGGGAGTCTAAAAGCTGAGCAAGACATGATGTTGAGTGGGGCCCCTAAACAGCAGACCCAGTGCCTCGAGCTAATCTGTCACTTACCACGTGTGCCTTTACCAGTGTCACCCAAAATAGTTCCTTGTCCTGGGCACCCGCATCGCCTCTGGTTCCCATCCAGCCTCGCAGGCAGAAGGATACCAGGATTTCGGTCCTGGGTCCCTCTGTGCCATCCTGGAGATACGCACCAGGAGAGCTTATCATCACATCTGATCCAGGAGAGGCAGATAGGCAGACAGACCAGGAGAGCGAATACCACGGGAAAAAGCAGCGGGGCTGAGGAAGAATTAAGTAGGCAAGAAAGACAAAAGAATATTTTTGCGATCCCTCTTCTGCTGCCAGTTTAGTAATAAGAACCACTGTTGTCTCCCTGTGACTATTCTCAGTCACAACTTGCGTGTCATCATTGCACTTTTGCATTTGCCAAGGTGTACGGCTTGGAGAAAGAACCGATAGGCATAGGGAAATGTATAGTGCCTTAGAGGTCAGTGACCCTGGGGCCCAGTCCCAGAACTTCTCCTGACATGCGTCATGGGCGTGGTCCATTCATTTTCCTGTCTCTGTCCTCAGTTTCCACACTCGAAAATGGCAGCAGTCTTAATATCTGTCCTGCTTGTCTGATGGGGCGTGATTAGCTTCTGCCGTGGTAGGTTTTTGTAGAGCCAGGCCATGCATAGTGTTTCAGAGACCTTGACTATGAAGTAGGAACGCTGGACTCCTGTTTTCCCTCTGCTGATTTACAAACTGATTCTCTGCCTCAATTTCTCCATCTGTCCAGTGGGGACAGTGATGAAGAGCATTGGTGCCTAGAGATCCTTGAGCATATGTTAGCTATTTTTGCAGATGAGATTTTTTTTAAATGGTCAAAACTTTCACGGGAAAGGGCGTCAAGACACTGTACTTGATGGGAGAACCTGACCAATTCCGTCTGCCGTTGGATTGATGAACCAGCCCTTGACGCCAGAAGCAGCCTGTTTCTGAAACAAGTGATGAGAGTGCTCATCAATATTTTATGCAACTGCTGGTTCAACGTAAAGAGTAGAATCCTCCTCCCTGCCCCCCGCTTTTTTTTAACAGAAAAATAATTTCTGATTTTCTGGCAAACGGATGAGAATTCCCTGTGGCAAGAAAAGAAAATACTCATTTATTCTCATTTGTTCTGAGACATAAGGACAGACAGTGTTGCATTTTTCAATTAGCAGGACCCAGGGACTCCCGGGTACTGGGGACTGTTCCTGAATCAGTGATTTGTTGAAAGAACAGTTCTCTTTCATGCTACTCTTTTGCTTTCATTAAAGAATTGGCGTTTTCAATCAAATATTAATAAGTGCGGCGCTGCAGATCAGGGGCGCTCAGCATTTCTGGTCTCCATGCCTGTTGCTGGCTCAGCTGTTTACAAAATAAATAAAAATGAAGTGAAATGAAAGCTTGGCTGCTCTGAAAAGTACCTTGTAATACTAAACCAGGGTGTAAGTTAGTCAGTAGGAAAGGATTTAAATCGAACCATTTGATTATAATGAGGGAGAGGTGCCCTTGAGTGGTTCACTTTTCTTGTTTTTGCTTTTGCCCAGTTCAGCTACAAGAAGGAAGACAGAGGAGGCGGTTAGTAGCCCTGGGTCCCCAACAGGCGTCACGTGTCGTTCATTCTCCGCCACATCAGTGGTTGACATTCCTACCTGGCAGGTGTTAACCTGAGGTTCCTCCAGGCTGTTGATTCAGTACCCCTGCCCCAAATCAGAGTAGTGGGCTGCCAGGACCCACATCTTTGTACCTATTTAGCCCTGCTATACTTTCAGTTAGAATCACTGTCTAAAAAAAAAAAACAAAAAAAAATCATGATCTACACATTGGCAAGAAAGACTATTTTAAAAGTCCCATAGGTATTCACCATCACCCAGATCTGTGTCATGTTTTAAGATGGGACCTCTCTGCCCCATCCCGCTGGGAAATTGTCATGCCTATACATAGACAGCACCTGCCAAGCCTGTCGAAACCACTCAACGAACGTTAGGACTCTGCCTCGCTTTACGCGGTATGCCCACATCTGAACGTGCATTTTTTCCCCTTTGGGGGCAGTAACCCATTCTGCCGTTTTTTTCTGATTTGGAAAACCTGGTTTGAGATGCTTTCACGCCCCTTATGATACTCAGATCCTTCTGCAGTGGCAGATCTACCTCTCAGGCCCGCTGTGTGAGCCTTCATTGAGAAAGCAAGCCAGGGTAGCACAAGCCCACACATGGCCAGTGAAATGAGATGTTTGCTCTCAGAATCAAAGCTTGAGGCTTCTGAGCCAACATACTTACTGGACAGTGTCACCTTAGCATGTTGATTTCCTAAAATACACATGTTCTCACTTACCCACAGTCCCACAGTCCGATTGGACTATTTGGGTACAGTCTGCCAGGTTTGCTGCACCATAGCAACCAAATATCTGTAACTCAGAGACAGTGAAGGGGTTGATTTCATTTTTCTTTCCCATAAACTGCAGTCAAATCTTCACTGCCATTTAAGGTAACCTTCTGCTGGTTTAAGAATATTCCAGCTGTGTTTATGGTGTTCCAGCATTCTCCTGCCAAAACCTTTGACAAATGAATTGGCGGTATCTTCAGGGATGTTAGCGACCACAGACTGGATTTAGCCATTAAATCCTCATTTATTTTCGTTATATCTGATCAGGATATTGGGAGAGGGCTTTTGACTTTTAAAACGTACATGGAGAGGACTCAGTTCTGATCGTGACATTTTAGTCTTGCCCACGTGGTACCCAAAGGTTCAGATATGTGGAAACCTTTATCAGATGCCCCCTGGGTTATTAAATGCATCTTGTCATGCTGCTCTGGGTACAGTCTTCCAACCTCATCTCAGGGATGAGATTTTTGCCAACTATTAAGTCCTAGTCCGCACTCAGCCTCAGGTGCCGTGAATGAAAGATCTCTCCATGCCAATTTTAACTAAACTAACCCAGCGTTGGGGATTGCACATTAGAGTATTATTTTTGATGCTCCAATGTTATACTCATAGCATATGTTTAAACCCTGCCATTGCTCAAAAGATACTGAGAGGAAAAATTGGCTGCATTAAGATCTTTCTACAGCTGAAGAGGAATTTATAAACAAGTTTCCATAGGCTGAAATCTTCTCAGCCACACAAGTTATTTTAAATTATGCTTCCTTCAGTTAACATATAGCAGCTGTTGCTCCTCTTTCAAAGAAGCAGCAGAAAAGCAAGAGACCCTGGCATCATTGTATGTGCTTTTAAAAGTGCCTCTACCTTTTTCATTACTTTCTCTCTCTCTCTCCCCTTCTTTTTGATGCAGAGCAAGAATTCATCTAGTTCTCTCAAAATTCTCATGTAGCCTAGAGAAAAGGTAGAACACCTGAGTTTAAGATATCCTTTCAACTGAAATGACAAGTGTTAATAGCTGGGTTCCAAAATCTGCTCTGTGCTTTCCTTAGATCCTGTCTGTAGGAGGAAATGACTTTGAGAAACCTTTTCCCAGTCAATCATTTATCTATTTTAGCAGCAAGAAGACAACCTCACTGAAATAGGAGGAGTTCAGCTCCTTTCATTTCTATGAGCAATCTCTGACACTCTGCAAGTGGAGACAATAAATAGTGGCAGGCTAAATTACAGGTTGGACACATTTACAGAGGGAATTTTTGCCTTTTTTTTTTTTTTGCTATTATGTATTTGGAAGCTTTGAGACAGTAATATATGGGCTATCTTACCCCACCCCCCAAAAATAGCTTTATTGTCTTGGTACCTGTATTTTTTTTCTCCCAATCTAAGTTCTCCAGCATTTTGGTCGGTCACCAGCATGCTCAACAGTCTAGAACAGTTGAGGGCTGACCCTATAAGGTCGGAGCAGTTGTCCGTCAAGACCCAGTAGCCTCTGCTGTACCCAGAAGCTCATCTTAGAGAAGAGGACAACTGACCTAAGTCATTTCTGTCCAGCGGGAAGTCATCTGGCTGGTTTGTAGAAGAAGCCAGCAGCCCATTTTGACTGTAGGAGCTTGTGTGACCCTACGTTAGTGAAAAGCGCAGCCCATTTTGACTGTAGGAGCTTGTGTGACCCTACGTTAGTGAAAAGTGCAGATTTGAGGGCCCACCCCAAAGCCAGTGTTTTCAGTGGTGCTGAAAAGAAAATGAAAATCTAGCCAGGACCTCCTGTTTTAGAGATGTTACAAAGGTTAACTGGCTACCAACCCATGGAACATTTGGTTCTGAAGTTGCTTAGCTTCATCCAGAGCGGCAGAGAGAGTGAATCTTTCAGCACGTGCTCCCATTTAATAAATGACAGTAATTTTCTCCCTTAAGTAATTGAACACAGCACCCAGTAGGGAACTTGACAGAGCCCCTAGGAGGCCAGTTCTCTCTTACTGCACCACTGCCGGGAGAATAAAAAAGTTAAAGGAGTCATCAGATTTGTCAGATCATTTTTTGGATGGGATGAGGATTGTATAATTAGAAGCATCAGTCAGCCTTTTAATTGCAGGTTTCACAGAGGGGAAGGGGCAATGGTTCGAGTTTATAGAGAGATCATTTCATTGTTCTCTTGCTAAGACTTTGCTTTTGAGACCTGTTAATTGCTTGATCTTTCTCCCGAACTTACTTACAAAAGCTCTGCCTGCTCTGAAATTGTGGTAGATGCATAAACTCTGCCTTATTGATTTTTGTTGACATTTTACATTTTTTTATGCATTCTTAACCTCCGTTTAGAAGCTGTTGGTTTGGCACATGCTCCCAGATAATAAGAGCAAGCGAAGTGAATGAAACAGGCTTCTTGACTCCTAAAAGCAGAGTTAGTGGGGCTTCCCTGGTGGCGCAGCGGTTGAGGGTCCGCCTGCCGATGCAGGGGACGCGGGTTTGTGCCCTGGTCCAGGAGGATCCCACATGCCGCGGAGCGGCTGAGCCCGTAGGCCGTGGCCGCTGGGCCTGCACGTCCGGAGCCTGTGCTCCGCGGCAGGAGGGGCCGCGGTGGTGAGGGGCCTGCGTACCGCCAAAAAAAAAAAAAAAAAAAAAAAAAGCAGAGTTAGTCTGGGCTTCCTATGGCCTCAAATATGCCTCCATTAGATGATTTGCTTGTGCCTCTACTGTAGCCTCCAGACAGGAAATGAAGGGACTTCCCCGGCGGTCCGGTGGTTACGAGTCTGCACTTTCACTGCCAGGGGCAGAGGATTGATCCCTGGCCTGGGAACCAAGATCCCGCAAGCCACGCAGCACCAAATTTTTTTTTTTAATTTTTAAAATAAAAAAATGAAAAAGAAAAATCTCTTAGCGTTATTTCCTCTGTTAATAGTACCACTGATCATCACAATCTTCAAGAGATACTACTTTGAAACAGATGGTAAATTGGGGACTCTGTCATTTTAGAGCTGAGTCTATTTCAGTATGGAGCCAGCAGAGGTCCTGTTGTAGATCTCACACACATCATCTAGGTGCCTTAGAGAAGGCTGCCCAGCTGCTTCTGTTGATGACAAAAGCCACAGCCACTGTAGGTACAGGCAGCATGTTGAAACAGTCAGCTTCACCAGCTGCTGTAACGTCAGAAAAACCATAGGAGGTAGCTTGGCATCCTTCGTGGGCTAGACGTCGGGCTTCAGTGAGGACAGCTTAACGGAGGTGAATGAGAGGAACCTCCCATGTACAGAGAGTTTTTGTGTATTAAAAATTACAGCATGATGCCAAAAAAAAAATGCATTGACTTATTTTCATGACTGGTGGTTGTTGTGCTTTGGGGGTAGTGGGCAGGCATTGCTTTCTCTTACTGCTGTTTGATTGAAAGGTGCTAATACAGTATTGACTTGATAATCTCACCAGGTACCCATGCAGAGCAAACAAAGAAAATGCGTTTAATGGCTCCCACAGTGACTCCCATACACCAAGCCACCCACTGGTTGTTTGGATGTAGAATGTTCTGTTTGGCTTCCCGGCCACAGAGGCAACCATCTCACGTGATTGGTGCCAGAATTCCACTTTTGTGCACTCGCTCTGAGATGACAAGCTTCAGCCCCTCGGTGTTTAGATCTGCTTCATTGGGAAATCTTTTAAGTAGTAATAATAATAATGTTTTCAGGCAATTGAGTAGAACACTAAATTATTCTCTGATACCTAAGTTCAAACTGTGCAAGGCTAAAGAAGCTGAAAATCAATGCACTTTTAAAGTCATTAGAGATCATAAGTGAAATAGTCAGCATTGCTTTAGCTAAGCTTTTAGTGTGCCGTGGTATTATTATAAAATCAGCCTGAATCTGCATTAATTTCACAGTCTTTTTCTCTGAGAAGCCCAAGGGTGCATGATGAATAAAATGTAAATTTCAGAAGGCAGTGCTTTTATTAGTGGAAAGGGCAGTGAGCCATGTAGCTGGAGCAGTGACCTGCATGGTAGCCAGCACTGCTACAAGAAGCAGGAACAAGCACTGTAGATTCTAGTTATTTTACGGCTGGGGAGAAAAATAGCCATGGAGAGTTCTGTGGGTCTCAGGGGAGACATTCACAGAAATATACATTGTCTTCTGTATGTTACACTTGAGGTGGAATCTCTGATAAGAATCCACAAGTCACAACTTAAAGTCTCGAAGGTTTGATACAAATAAGAAATCCAATGCAAGTGTTTAAATTTTACTTCATATACACAGTTGAATATTCCCAGAGTAACAGAGCATTTGTTTTTGTTCATCATTAACAGTTACTAAGTAGTTTGTACAGGATTTGGGTATATTTGTTTGCATTTGAATAGCATGAGTGTATATTTATACATCTATTTTTTAACTACCCAGAAGAGATGAGGTATATTTATTTGCTGACATTTCGAGCTGTTGGAATCTAGTTGCTAATTTGCCCTGGGTGTGAGAATTTTACTATTTGCTGCTTAGAAATCAAGGCTCATGTTTGAAACACAGAGCCGGAATGGGTAGATGCCCTAAGTCAAGATAGACAAGGAGAAAATGTAAAATCGCAACTTTTTATTTTAGAAAATGCAAACTAGGTCTTGCGCATTTCAACACCCACCCCCCACCCCACCCCCCGCCCCCCGCCCCGTGGCTTAAAAAAAGAAAGTACCCAGCCTCCTTCCCCTGGACTCCATTTTAAAAATAAATAAACCAATCCATCAGTAAATCTTTCTGCTGTGGTCAGATTAGCAGGTCAGCACTGTAAGTAAAAAGCAACACGAGATAAAAACCAAAGAGAGAAGTTGTTGATTTCATGTACTACTGAGAACAGTGTCGTCCTGTGGCAGTTCTCGTAGACTGTGTTGGTTTAACAAGCGTCCAAACCTTTTGTCTTGTTGTTTTTTGTCTTTCCTGCTCCCTGTCCCCTTGTTTCCCACAGGCTGTGCGTTTGTCACATTTTCTACAAGGGCAATGGCACAGAATGCAATCAAAGCCATGCATCAGTCTCAGACCATGGAGGTACTGTATCATCTGCCCTTTCTTTGTTTTCTTTGTGCAAATGGTGGGGAATGGAAAGCAATTCTCTCCTGTGTGGATTGTTCACATGACAATCACAGATGTAAACTTTCACCATCTCTCTCTCTCCATTCATTCATATTCCTTCTTCCTTAATCTCTCTCCTCCTCCCTCTCTCTCTCTCTCTCTCCCTCTCTCTCTGAATTTTTCCCCTGATGACTGGAAATGCACTTAGTGTAAAACCTTCCACTTGCTCTACGTTCCTTTTTGAGCCTTTTATTGCAGTGGCCCAGGTCCTGCTGTGTAAAGTTCATGATGCAATTTAAACGGAGCATCCTTCTATACCTCAAGAATCAAGTACGTTCCCCAGCCCCAGGGGTGGGATGGGTAGAACATTACCAGACCCCATTCCAAATTGCAGCCGGCCCTGTGCAAAATCACAGGGTTCTTTCATTTCTTTTTTATTTTCTTTTTGATGCGGGGTCAAGTTATCTTTAATCGAGACAAACAGAATTGTTTTTGCCTCAAGAATGTTGGAGAAAGTTAAGACTTCTCCCACCTCATTGAACCAGTGCAAATGTTCATGTATGAGAGTCCCCCGAGAAATTAGATTTTCACCCTTACTAAAAAATGAACAATAACCCAGAACCTCAAAGGCTCAAATGTGATCTCCTAATGAGAGATAGTGGCTTTCGGGGAAGAGAAATAGGCTGGCGTGGGTCCACAAATGTAGACAATGGCTCTGTACTTTGAGTCTGTGATTCGGGTCATGGCCTTTCAGAATTTTGCACAAAAACACTCCAAGAGTGATATGCTGTTACTTATTCTGTATTGTCTGATAGAATCCTTTGGGAGTGCATGTTCTGCTGTATTATGTAAAACTGTATCTTTGTGTATGGGTGATCTTTTCTGGAGGTGGCTTTGTAGTGTTACCTGAAGTTAACGTTTTTCATCTTTTGGAAAAAAAATTGTTTTCAGTTTTATTTAATGTGCCAAAAAGTTCTTTATTGATCGTTTGAGCTTCTTTTTTGCCTCCACTCTTGGGGGGGGTTTAATTTTTTTTTGTTGTTCATTTGTTTGTTTTTTGCAATGCTGCATCTCCCGAAGCATGCCGGGAGCTTAGTGATCTTTATGGGTCTTGTCTTGTGGGCAACCTTTCTCTAGGGAGCCAAAGGGTGGGTGGAAGCGGGGGGTAAAGAGTGTGCATGGCATTGTCATTAAGTGTTTACTGTACTTTTCTGAGTTTTGATATCAGCATTGCAAAGCCTATTGTCTTTTTCGAACTTCCTTTTGACTTCCATATTCCTAACATATCTTATATAATCACTGTGTTTTCCTTTCAGTGCAATGCATTTTTAAGACACTCACACACCCCTACGTGAAGGCAAGCTCAGGTGAAAATCGGCCACAATAAGGGAGAAATAGCAGGATTTGAAATGTCTAGGAATCCAATCTTGAACAACATGCAGTCACACACGTGATCATGTTTTTGTCCCCTCCCCCTACCCTTTCCCTTACCTTGGGGAGCTCCATTATCGGGGATCAGCCTGGTTTCCAGCTTCATATCAGTCTGGAGATGAAATGAAAGTACTGTTAAGAAAAAGGAAGTCTTGACCTGTATTTATTATCTTCCATATATATATGTGTTTCATTCTTAAAGATTTTTATTTCCTGTAATTGAGTGATTTGTACCTAAATTGGTCTCACCTTAGATGATTTTGTAACCTCAATTCTTTCAGCTCTGTTGGAAACATTGCCACCCCAGTTCCTTCACCCAGGGCCCCCCGCCCGAGGGGGAGGTCTGTGTTCTCCTGGGTCCCTACGGAAGGAGAGCACGAGAAAACACAGCAGAACTGGGTATGAACCCGAACCAAGAAAGTAACAGGCTCTCAGAGTGAAAAGAATTTGCTGTAGAGAATGGGGCATATGTATTCTTCAGAAATCCTTGATCCTTTGTTAATACTGCTATTATCAGAAATCAGATCTGATGCACTTGTTTTTAAATCTGGACATCCATGCTTAATCAGAGGAGCCCTCAGACACTTAAATTTCTTGTTTAATTCAAAAATATTGACATTTAAACAGAAGATTACATATTATGCAGTCTCATTACGCTTGTACCACTGCAGTTTGTTTTCTTTTTTTGAATTAATTACATTATTTTCAGGACTCTGGCTTACGTCTTCCACCAAGATGTATGATCTAAGAGATGTGAATTCAAAACGATGTCACTGTTAAAGTTTAAAAGAACATGTTATTTTAAAAATCATTAATCTTTATATGGTACCTTGATTTTCCCACTTTCCTCCAATCTCTCCCCACCCTGTTTTCCCCTTTCATGGTTTATACAAGTCATTTTTGAACTATAATCATTGGCCTGATTTTCTGCTTTTATATCATTTTTTGGTATTTAAGGAAGAAAAAAGCCAACCGTAAATGAACTGTTAGGAAGAGATGCTATAATTTGTTATGGGACAAATTTGATACAATAACAACCCTTTGCATGCAAAACCCTTGCTGTCTGTAATTTCCATCTTCAGAGTGGTTTTGCTGTCTTTAAAGTGATGAAACGCTGAAACACGGAGCAGATGAAGAACAATGAAGTATAGATTTTTTAAACGGTGGAAACATTACTTTTATGCAGTTTACTGACGCTTAACATCTGTGCCATGACTGTGACTCCCAGAGCTGAAGACCAGTCTGCTGGAGGTTCAACACCCAGTCACCTCACTTTTCTCACATGTTGGGGGGTAACAGCAGGCATGATAGCTTCACGTATGCATAGTTCCATCCCCAGTAGCTACCCAACGTGATAAGAAAAAAATGCAACTCTGTTTTCTAGGAGAAAGAAAAATAACCCAAAGGGAAGGGACAAGCTCATTTAAATAGGAATATTAAATTTCTGGGAGGAGAAGAGAGAGGTCTGTTATCATGCTGAGTTTCAATAAAAAGTGGGGTTTTTTTTTAACCACTTGGGTAGAATTAACTTCTTTTTATCTCAGCAAAATTTCACAGCTTTAATTGTGATGGGATGTTTAGCAAGCAAAACAGAGAGGGAAGAGAGTTGGTTTCTGCTGAGTATTTGCCAAGTGGCGAATGTTGAAAAGCTGCTTTCGAAAGGAAGTCCTCCTGCCTGAGGTGTCAGGCCCTTACTTTCCCTAATGATTTTCTCCGTATCAGACATGAGTTGGTCCTGTTATATATAACCCTTGGCCATTTCTCACTCACTGCCTCTGCTCCTGCCTTTTAGAGGAAACGAACGCAGAAGCTCCTAGAACAGCGAGACTGATTAGGAAAAGAAGCTAAGTAGACACATCGCCTCCTGCCATCCGAGATGTGTCTCCTTGGACCAGATTGCTTCTGATATTTTCTTTTTGATTTGTTGTAGCTCCTGGGATTACAGCTAGAGTAGATGCGATACAGAAGGAGGAGAACCCCTTCTGAAAACATGGGGACAGTGACATTGGTCCATGCCCGTGTCCCCTGAAAATCTCCTTCCTTCATCCATGTTCCTAAAATGAAACCCACTTCTCCCGATTATATTGCTGGGTCGGTATGATTCCTACAGTTCCAAAGTTCAAAAATACTTAACGTTGGAAAGAGTGGGAGAAGAAGACATGAGCGACAGGCATTTTCATTCCCATTACAACATTTCGTTCCCCTCCTTTGTCCCCTGCTCACACGCGGAAACAGGCAGACACACCAGGACAAGTCCATCTTTCAGACAAGCGAACCGTGAAGCTTAATTAAAGGACAATGATAAGGTCTCTTGTCTCTGAGGAGGTCCTGGGATGGTGGAAGGAAGACCCATGAAGAGAGGAGGAGAGGCAGTGTGATAATCAGAGCACGAGCACAAGTGGCTTCATCGATCACCAGAGCCCCAAAGACACCAGTGACAGGATCTGGAATTTTCTGTTGATGGTACTATTCAGAGAAGAAGAAGGACCATCAAACCATTTAAAAACGAGGCCAGACCATCCCCCTGTGCTCCAGAATAGTTCAGAAAGCTAGGCCCCGAGCTGACTGAGTGTCCTGAGCGGAGTGGGCCAGGCTGTAACCCCCTCTCCACTTTCCGCTGTGTCTGACCACAGGGCTGCTCTTCACCGATTGTGGTGAAGTTCGCTGACACTCAGAAGGACAAGGAGCAAAGGCGTCTCCAGCAGCAGCTGGCGCAGCAGATGCAGCAGCTCAACACTGCCACCTGGGGGAACCTGACGGGTCTGGGCGGCCTCACCCCGCAGTACCTGGCGGTAAGTTCTTGGGGGGGGGGCGTGGGGGGAGCATGTGGTCCCCAGGAGAGAGGAGCACACCCGGTGGAGCTCTTACAGGCTCCTTGGCCCCTGAGTGCACCAAAAGCTCGTCTTCGACATTATGAATGCCGGGAAATTCCTGAAATCAGCGTCGATGAAGAATATTTTTCCAGGTGAAGCTGACAGGAACGGGACTCTTCATTCTAGCTGCATGGAGGCTGAGCGGGGCCCCACAGGGCTGAGTGTCTAACCAGTGTTTCCGCACAAACTCCAGCCTCGGCAGGGGTGCGGCATGCGTGATAGATGATGACTTAACGGCTCTGAGGCAGCCGTGGTTGGCTCTCTCACCACCTCCCTGCTCGGTCCATTCCACATCAGGACCTCAGATGGAACTTTCCTTCACTGGGTCCTCCCCGTGGAGCGATGTCAACTAAATTCAGATGTTTCTTCATCTATTTGAAACCCAAAACTCAGATCCTGTTTTCAGGCCAAATAGACCCAATTCTTTAACTAGCCCTTACATTTCATTGTTTCTAAACTTTCCACCTCCTTGTTTTTTTCTGTTGTGCTGCCTGTTTTACTTCGCCAGTGTCTTTATTAAAATGCCATAATCAGAATGTGAGACAGTTCCTCCCAGGAAGATCACACAGCGTGAGCAGTGACCCCTATTGTGGACTTTAAAATATCTTAATGTAGCTTGAGGGCAATGGAAGGCAGCTCGTACTCCTCTTAAGGTTTTATTTATTTTTACTTGAACTACTGCTAAAGCATGCTACTCTACCCCCCTTTTCTGCTTTGGAACCTAAATGCTGGACTACACATTATTAATATAATTTCATAGTGTGCCTTTGGACCTTTTATTCTAGCGTGTGTGTGTGTGTGTGTCCGTGTGTGTGTCCATCCGTCCGTCCTAATTCTCTCCTGACGTTTGAACTGTCCCTCTCAGGATTGTATGACCCATTCCATACTTTGTAGCAGAACCAATACTGTTCTGTAAAAGAGTCCTTCCTGTGACCTTGAAAGGTAAGATCACCGTGCTTCTACAAGTGAGGAAAGGGAGAGGCTTAAGGGAGAAATGGGGGGGGGGGATAAACTGGGAGATTGGGATTGACATACACACACTACTATATATAAAACAGATAACTAATAAGGACCTACTGTATAGCACAGGGAACTCTACTCGATACACTCACTGTACTGGCCTATATGGGGAAAATATCTAAAAAAGAGTGGATATATGTATATGTATAACTGAATCACTTTACACCTGAAACGAACACAACGTTGTAAATCAACTGTACTCCAATAAAAATTTTAAAAAGGTTATGTAACTTTACCCCAGGTCATGACACTGGTGGTCAAGCAGGATTTCAGCCCTCTATGGGTTCTCTCCATCCGGCGGGGCTGCTTCTCCAAGGACAGATGTGACTCACATTCCTCTTTTATCCACCCCACCCCACTGCCTGTTGTTGTCTGCCATGTAATTGCTACTCAAGACATGTCTGGATGTCTTGCTGGAGAAGCGTGCCTCTCCTGTCTTCCCCTGAGTTATTAATACAAGCAGTGACCAAGTTTGCTGCCACCTTCTAGCCGTTTCTCCATCTTATCCACAAAGAGATGAGAGATGAGAGATTTCATCACATGTCTTGCTGAAATCTGTATGTGCTTGCCATATCTTTTTCTTGGTCTATCGGTCTACAAACTTCATGAGAAAAAAAAAATGAGTCTAGCTGAACAATCATTTGTTTTTCACAAACGTGTGTTTCTCAGTTGTTCACAGATCATCGCCTTAAGTACAAGAATTTCTATCAGAGATTGACGTCAGGCTCACCTTTTCGTAGTTCCTAAGAATCCAGCTTCCTGCTCCACCATGTCTGAAAACCAAGACACACGTGCCTAGCCCTGGTCTCCTGGACCATCTCCCATGCCCCAGGGCTCACCGAAATCTCTGGCACGTGTTTCTTTGATCACATCTGAAAATTATTTCTGAATCCTGAAAGAGAATTCATCCCCGCCTCATTGATAAGAACGTGTTCTTACACGCTCTGAACTACGTTTTCCCCTACCGAGGGCTTCCATTCTTTCTCTGCCAAGTTTGCTCTACCCCTTTCGATCGGAAGCCCATTTCTCTGAAAAGACCCTTGGCCTTTAAGGCATCCCCTGCCTCTGTGTTGAGGGTAGATTCTGACTGTGGCTCACCAGAGTGGTTGTCAGTGGGAAGAATCCACGGAAGTAGTTTAATGACACTCCAGGTATTGCCACTTACTAACCAGTAAAGATTATTAATCCCTCAGAGTATCTTCAAAGCTAATTGAACTTGACTAAACTTTAATTTTTTTAAATATCTAATATAGGAGAGAGTAAGGGCTTGCAACCACAAGAGAATGGGAAACCCAAGAAATCAAACCAAGATAAGGGATTTCTCTCTGTCAAAACAGATAATTCCTAGCTTCTTCCTCTTTCTCATTCTGTGTGTCTGTGTGTGTGTGTGTGTGTGTGTCTCTGTGTAATGTCTAGGTAGTATACTACCCTGAGTCGAGAAGGATGAATGAAAGTTGCAGACGTATGTCTGGGAACTGTTCATGTTTGGTTTTGTCTTTTTTTTTAATTTTATTTATTTTTTGGTTGCGTTGGGTCCTCGTTGCTGTGTGCGGGTTTTCTCTAGTTGCAGCGAGCGGGGGCTACTCTTCGTTGCGGTGCGCGGGCTTCTCATCTGGGGTGGCTTGTTGTGGAGCACAGGCTCTAGGCCTGTGGGTTTCAGTAGTTGCAGCACATGGGCTTCAGCAGTTGTGGCACGCGGGCTCAGTAGTTGTGGCCACAGGCTTAGTTGTTCCGCAGCATGTGGGATCTTCCTGGACCAGGGATCAAACCTGTGCCCACTGCATTGGCAGGCGGATTCTTAACTGTTGTGCCACCAGGGAAGGCCCACAGCTGTTCATGTTAATCCCCATAGGGATTACATTAATCATCGTAACTAAGACAAGTTGAATCAGCCACCGATATTCCACTCTACTTGGTGCTTTTAAGTCAATTGCTAGATGCCCATTTCTGAGTCACATCCAGTTGTAGAGTTTCCTTCTTCTTAAGCTGAGGAGACCTACCATTACCTGGAGGAGTGGCAGTGCTCTCTGTTAGGTTTTGCAGCACTCCAAACAAATTCTGAGAGCTTATTTTTTAAATAGTGAATTCATCTGGTTCCTCCTAAGCTCATAGTACCATAGCAGTTTTTTAATAATAAATTTGGTGTATCTATGCTTTTAGCATCCATGGACTTTTGAGTATAGGAGATAACTCCACACTTGCCCCCAGGTACAAACTGCGGCTGTATTGATCAACCAAAAGGAGAATATCAATAAGCCTAGTCAAACAGTATAGCACCTAAGTTAACCTATAATTCAATTGATGTGGACGAATAAAGGAGTGCTTTCGAACAGTAACCACATGCCTTTACCTTGTGGTATCCACCGTTTCTATATGGGGGATTAAATGTATTTTTGGAAGCTCTAGGAACAAAATACAGAGACCTTTTCACAGCTGTCTTCATTTCTTTTTGAAAAGATGCTGATATATTTATAATGCGTAGCATCAACATACATAGCACCAGAGATTTGTGAGCTTTGACAAGTAGTATGTTGCTCTCTGCCAACGAAGACCACCTTAAAATGGGTGACCGTTGTCTTGGTCATGAAGTCATGACAGTGACTCTACGGCTGCAGATACATACACTTAGGTCTGTAGGTATTACAGTGATTTCTCTGTTAGCCCAAGGGTCAGTGAATCTGTACCTCTCTAATGAAGGTTGTAGGACACTGAGCTGTGAAGGAAAGCGGAGGAGACCTAGGGTTGGACCGCGATTGACAGAGATGAGTTATGGGAACTACTAGGCTCCAGAGAGAGAGCATTAGTCACGCCGTGTTGGTTCCCATAGATCTAACACCTGGTTGTTAAAAAGTAAATTGATGAATTGTTTTAAGGCAGCTACGTTATTGAGTTTCCCCAATGTCTGTGTTTTTTAATAGAGATTAGACATTAACATGGATTTATAGCCCCAACTCTCGGAACCTTCAGCCCATTAACAGGCAGCAGCAACCAACTATGTAAATGTAAAGGGAACCGGACGTGCCCTCAGTGGACTTGGGAAGTTCCCTTGACAGTACGTTTCCAAGCTCCACTTCATTTTGACAGTACCTTTCTCTTTTCTTTTGCAGCTTCTGCAGCAGGCCACCTCCTCCAGCAACCTGGGTGCATTCAGTGGCATTCAGCAAATGGCTGGTAAGTCATGAAGCGAGCCTTGCCTTTTGACCGTGCTGTTGTCTGAATTTGGGATGGGTTCAGAAGCTGGGGAAAAGACGAACAAAGAGTAACTACCGGTCCTAGTTGCTTTCTGGCTTAGGTGTTAAAATTAGAGTCAGCTGCTCAGAAGTTGATCTTCTAACTCTGGCATCTCCAACAGTTATGAGAAAATTTGGGGGGCTGAGAATTCCTGCACAGTACCCTCCAGAGTTGTGTTTATTATTTTTTTTAAATGGGTTTGCTGGCTGGGGGATTTCCAACAAGCTTCCTATATCCAGGGCAGCTGCCATGATTGACATCCCTCTAGAATTTTAATAATAGGCAGTCAATAAGAATGTTTTGACCTTCGTAATGAAAGTCAGGCTTGCACGCCTATCTCTGATACCGTTTGCAGTCCCTTGATAACCACAGACAATTAACAGGGTGCCTTTTTTTTTCTTTTTAACTTCAGAACCCCAGTTGACAGAATTGCACATCAGAATCTTTTATGGGAAAGTAGAATCTTTGTTCTTGAGCAAAATCAAAGTGGGACTGGATTTGAAAGCCGGCTCATGAAGGATTGCTTTGTATTATGAGCTGTGTCAGTAGTAACTGAGGGGCAGTGATTAGTGAAAGGTCAGTCCTGCAGTGTCACCTTCCAGGCTCACATCCTAACCCACACCACGGGGCCAGGGAAGGCAGCCCGCACGATGAATCAGAGCACGGGTGCCAGGAACCTGCCGCGAGGAGCAGTGAGGAAGCTTCTTCCTTGCTTGATTCCGAAAAGATAGAGGAGCGCAGGCAAGGAGAACAGATTTTGGGCGTATTAGAATTGAGCACAGTTTGTTTTCATCAAGGACACACTGAGTCAATGAAATGAACCCAGGATGTACAGAATAAAAGCTTGATTTCCTTATTTGTCACTATGAAAACTCCTTTTTTCCTTTTTTTTCCCCCCTCCCACATGCATGTCCTTGTGGGGTTTTTTTTCCTTGTTTCACTTTGAATGGATCTGGAGACCCTTGGAATGAGCACGTGCAGATCTCTGTTCCTGTATGTCCAGTTGTTGTCAGCCCAGCCTTTCGTGGTGACCTCCAGGGTTAATGGTAACTTGTCTGATGGGACATACTCGCCTACAGTAAAAACAATGCTCAGTTACCCGTGGGGCTTTAAATCTGGCACCCCCAGCTTGTCCTATTGTAATAACACTTTTAGATTATTACGGGAAAAAATACATGTTAAAATAATGAATAGTGAAACCGTCCAGCAGAATGTTGATGAATACATTTGGGGAAGCTGGCCTTGGAGCTGAGCATCGCCTTGAACAGTTGATTTATTTTTAGTTCTGTGAAGGGGATTGGAGAGACAGAGCTAAAATATTCAGAGAGTTTTCTACGTTTTAAAAAGAGAAAACCTTCCAGATTGCAAGCTCTGAGAGAAATGCTGAGATGTGTTGCATTTTCCGCCAGTGCAAGATTTGGTTTTCTTCTTCTAATCGAGGGGACCCACCCAGATCCAGAATTAGAGTCTTTCCTTAGAGGAAGCCTCAGGCTCTCCCGTTCCCACAGTTGAATTATGCAAAGAAGGTCACTGGGTCCTGAGGCTATGGCCAGGCATGTTTTCTCGGGTGGACGGTGCGCCTTGTCACTCTTCATTAGACCACAGGCGCCCGTGGCTCGCCAGGTCAGGTCAGGATGGTAGCATCTGTACGCCGTGTGCTCACTTAAAAACGGAGGGTATCTGGGAATCACCTGAGAAGGCGCATGGGGCAGATGGCTAATTTAAAGGTGGTTTGTGAATGCGCTCGGCTCTCCAAAATACCCCTTTCTCGAACCTTTGGCATTAAATTCAGCACCGAGGCTGCCCAGGCTGTGCATTCGAAGGCCGAGTGGCCCATTTTCCACCGTCACCTCGAGTAGTGAGGACCAAGGACATGGATGTCAGGGTTCCGTCTGCTTGGCCATTTCTATAACAAGTATCCTTCATTCCTGTGGAAGATCAGGTCTCATCATCCCAAGTGTTGGAAGCATAGTGGTTTGGGGTATTTTTTTTCAACCAAGTGCTCTTGGCCCCCTGCTCTTTCACCTTCTCCCAAGAGTAGGGCTTAACTTTTGTCACCGCCAGTCACCTAAGCCAGCCTCAGAAAGTGGGTGGATCATAGAGGCCCCTTCTTGGAGGACGTTTCCCCAGAGCACCGACTTGTGGGACGGGGGGGCCCCTCTTCCGCGTTCCCCTAAAAACCCTCTCTTCCTTCCCCTCCTCCCTCACCTCTGAATCACTGATGCTCCGAGAGGGCGTGGCCTCAGCCCTCACTCCTCTAAGTGGCACTTGTGACTCTTTTTGCGTGGATGAGTAAGTAAATTTATAATTTGGCAGGTGCAAATTTATGTGTTGGATACAGTCCCAATGAAGCTTAAGTGAAATACCTGGTTTTTTCATTAAGAAATTTGACTTTAGCCCGCTGTCTAAGCCACAGAGCATTACACAACCTAGCGACTGTATCTTCGTGAATGAGTTGTCAGAGACTTGGGATCAGCGACTTGGTACAGCGTCGTACATGTTACACAGCCCGTGGTATTGACGTACACGGTGGAAGCAACATGAAGGAGCCCAAGAGGTGGTTCATCCCGAAGCACCCCTGGGTTTACGATGCTGGTAAGTTGAGTGAGATTGTGGCAGAGTGAAAGCGGGCACCTCCACAATGCAGATGCCACGTTCATTGTCCTCCAGGGCCAGAGAATAAACTCCACGTGGAAAATTCGAGTACTGCAGCTGAGGGCACCATCACCAAAGAGTGAAATATCATTCGGAAAACAAGAGCACTGTGTTTGTGAACAGCTCTCAGAACAGAATGGTCTGTCCTTCAGGAAATTGAGGTGTCTCACTAGAGTCTAAAATGTCTCATTTTCTGTTTGAGGAGAAAATAAAAGAAAGCTGGAAAAAAACAAAAAAAAAAAAAATTAGGAGGAGACAAGTTCCTAAGTACTTACATCAATAAAATTGAATGAGACATCAACTATACTACTTTTAAAAAACAAAAAAACAAAAAAACCCCCACCGTTTTCCTTTCAAACTGAAAATAACTTCAGGCATGTTTTATGATTTTATAAAAGGGAACCTTTACTAAATCTGAAATTTAAAAAGCAGAAAATAGATTAGTAAGGATAAAATTTTTATAAGCTGACTGCTTTTATGTGCATCCTTCAAGTCGATTGATTTCACTTTCCCTCTCATAACTTCTGATAAAAATGTGTCCATTTCTCACTCAACTGTGGTATCCCATGAATTTCTGAAATCTCAAAAACGTGGGGTCTGTGTTCAGGCCAAGGGTCTGGATTTTTCCTGTAGAAGAAGGAATTAAGGGGAAAGTGGCTTTCCGGTTTTTCACTTATTTATAACAACTGTCATCTCAAAAAAGCATCGTGTTAGCAAAACAAGGGCAGTATTGCACAAGTTTGTTTTTCACAGAGCTTCTTGAAATAATCATGGGGTTTATCCTCACAGCACAGCCAAGGACAAAACCACTACTTGTTACTACGTAACAGTTGGGAAAACGGAAGTACAAAAAGTTCGAATAAGTTCTGTGAGCTCATGGACCAGGAAATGGTATTATATGGATTAGGATACAGAATTCCCAAATATCATAACGCTTTATGAGATAGGGACCATTAGCATCCCGTTTTACAGATGGGGCAACTGAGGCAGAGAGAAGTTCATTAACAAACTTGCCCAGAGTCACTAAGCTAATAAATGGCAGATCCACATTACAAACTGATCCAAACCCCGAGCTCCCTTTGGCCTCCGCGTCTCCACAAATCCAGGTATGTTCTGTCAGCATGAGCCTCGGTGACTTGTCTGCACAAACGGTTGAAGAGGCCAAATAACAAACAACTCTGAGCCATCGATAAACAATGCAGGAGAACCCCAAAACTGCTCAAAAAGCAGCAATTGTGAGTCAGCCACAGGAAAAACCTCCTCCTTTCGCTCTGGACAACATTCCAAATTTATGAAGAGGGGGTTGTTTTTTGTCAGGGGAAGTATTTTTCAAGGGTGAGGGGTTGTTAGTAAGAGATTACAGAGATTAAGAAGCGATGGCCAAAGAAGAGCATCTTGTGATAAACAAGGGAAAACTGCTTCCCTTGACTTCTGATAGCTGGTAGTAATTCGCTTCCAGAATATCTGGCCTAAGTTTCCAAAGTCACAGTGAAATCACAGAGGGCAAATATTTTCCCAAAACAACAACATCGCAACTACTTTACCTGTTGGAGATCCCCTCCCGGCAAAGGTGGGCTTGGAATGTCTGTGACGAGCGGAGAAGAGGGAAGAAGACTTCAGCAAAAACTGTGCACTGGAGGCTGAGAACCTCACGTCAGGGACACACTTGGGAGGTGTGCAAACTGGGCCCACCAAGACCCCGAGTTCTTCCCACAGCCAAGCAGCCTCCTCCACCCACACTTCCTGCAAAAGGTGCCAACAGGCCTTCGGAGAATGTGCCTTTACCACCCCCATCTGTCACTTCTTAACAGACCTGATTGGCAAGCGCTTGTAACAACTGACATCTGTTCTCGCTCATTGAAATGCAGATTTATGGTAATTGCTCCGAACAATAAGACAGAATTACCTAAGGTGAACATTAAATTAAATTTTCACGCTCTTCTCCTTATAAATAATTTTTTTTTAATCTTAAGTTTCAAGTAGGCATAATGTGTATCTGTTTGGTACATAATTTCTTCGTTTGGAGAAGGGTTTTCTTTTCTCGAGTAATGAGTGAAAAGTTGAAGCCCTGTATTCCCCCAATTTTTTTTTTTTTTTTTTTAGCCCTCTCGATCTCAGCACACTGTCGGATTTCCTAAAACTCGTCTAAGTGTTTTGCATTTCTCGTCACCCAGATTGTTGCCCCTGGTTTGACGGGTGCCCATCCGAGCAGCGTGCTTTGTGAGGTTAAATGGGGGTGGTTTTCTTCTCAGAGAAGAGCTATTTGCCAAACCAGAATCAGCATC